TGTTTTTTCTGGGTATGAGGAATCATGACCTCACACTTACCAGGCAGGTGCTTGTTCCACAGAGCTGAATTCCTAGCCCCCTACATTGCCTGGTTTTTAAGATCTTTTCTAATCTAGTTTTATCAGCTTTGCAAATAAATAAATAAATGCAACATTCTTTGCTGTTGTTGAGTGGTCCCAACAATAAGAACACTGATCACAGTTCTGGGTCTCCATCCATGTCCTTTTTGTGTCCCCCGCCCTTGCTGAAGGCCCCCTGAAGTTCCTTCGCCTTTGCTAGACACTCACCGAAGGCAGCCAGCCACCTGCTCTGGGACCAGCACCCTGGAACCACTAATCATCCTATAAACAACTCCGCTCACCAGTGATCCTGCCTTTCTGTGGCTTGGCTGTCCCATGAGTGCTGCGGTGCCTGCTCTCACGTCTTAGTATTGACACTGTAAGGCAAGACTCAGTAATGGCAAGAGCAGCTCTAGATTAATTTTCACTCTCTCCATTCTCCACCCCCAGTTTTTTCACTGTAAACTGCATTTCAGTCCTACACATGAAAGCTAAAGTTGGAAATGTCAGAGGCCTTCTCTTTACCAATTCCAGCGGTAGCTCTCTCTTCCCCTCCTCTTATGGTTACCACTGTCTCCTTGGTAGAATAGGTGTCCATTGAAAGGGGAGCTTTCTCCTACTAATATACATGCTGTTTCCTTTCACATTCAGACAGGAAACAGAGGTCAACACAAGTGAAAAAGGAGGGAAAAGTCAGTCACTTGCGCAACCTCTGCCAGAAGCCCAAAAGCCACTCTTCTGGGCTCACAGGAGGGTATAGTCCCGTAATGTAGACTCATGGCCTTTTAGTGAAAGCTTGCTGAGATGTTCCAGCCATGTTTGCACTGGCCAGCAACAGCACAGGGCATCCAGCAAAGGACTTGAAGTCCTAGCTGAGTGAGATCTTCATTAGGGAGGTCTTCCTCTCCTCTACCCCATTTAATCCAGGGAAATTCTAATGCTCTCTGGTCTCAGGACTCCTGCATGCACTCAAAAAGGAACTGAAGACCTTGGGTTTTTGTGTGTGTGCCCAATAACTATCAATAATTTCTGAATTGGAAGTTAAGACAGAAATATGTAAAACATTTATTTGTATCTTTATTTAAAAATAATAATCTATTACAAGAGAATATCTAATACTTTTATGAAAAATAAATTATTTTTCTAAAGCTATAATGTATAGGGAAGTTGACCGGTATTATTTATTATTTTTATAACTTCCTTTTTATGTCTGATCTAGTAGACAACTGTGTTCTCCTCTAACAGTGTTGGTGACATGTGTCTCAGGGCCTCGGGGGGTTGTTTTATCATTGAAAGCTCTAAAAGGCTTGTCATTACTGTCCTACATGTTTCTGTTTTGCTGTTACATATCACCCTGGATGAAGTAGATGGCCTCATAAGGACATGCACGATAGTTGGAAAAAGTACAGTTTTTTTTTTAAAGTGTTTTACTTAGAGACAATTATAGATTTACATGCATTTGTAAGAAACAATACAATGTTCTGTAAATCTTCTACCCAGTTTTCCCTCATAGTGATAGCTTGCATAATTATGAAAAATCACAACCAGGAAATCACCACTGATAAAGTCCAGAGACTTAATGTGGAGCTCACTGTTTCTATGTGCAATTATTTGTGTGTGGGTTGGTTCTGTATGACTTTGTCAGCATGCAGATTCATGTAGTCACCACAGGAAGATACAGCAGGTCCATCTCACTGACCTCCCATGCTGCCCACCTCGACCCAGGTCCACTGCCCTTCCTTCTGCCTCCACATTCCAGCTCCCAGTAACCATGACCTCTTCTAAGCAGAAGTATCTGAGATACCTTCAGCTGAGAGTGGATATTCATCGATATCATAGCAAAACTCAAACCAGTGGTGGTCTCTTAAAGATTAGCCACAATATGGAATCTGAAGCCATTATCAGTGAATCCTTCACAATGCACTTTGAAAGAACCCTTTGCCTGTGTGTGGTTTTGTGGTAGTAAAATGACATTGGCCTTTTGGTTTATTGAGATAAAGGAATTTTCCACATGTTGCCAAATTTCATCATCCAATATCAAGAAAGTATAGTTATTAATATCACTATCATATGTTGCCAAGTTTCCTCATCCTATATCAAGAAAGTAATATCACTATCAATCTTATGAAGAAAGTCTTCAAGAACTTTCTATACTTGCACAGTTGTTGAGCTCATGACAGCCGGTACAACTATCCAAAGTTCTGATTTCTGCTTGGAAGCTCACATCTTAACTTTAGCAATAAATACTTACCTCATCATAGCTATCTGTTGGAACAACAGACTCATTTTCAAGAATGTGTCTTCCAGTATCCTTCTGAATGACTATTTTCTTTAAGTGACAGTGATATTCCATAAAAAGGCAGTGAGGTCAGCACAGCTCAGAGAATACCGAGTGCTCTTCTGAAAACAGCTGAGGCACCTGAGTACATGGCAGGACTGCTTTCCACGCAGTTCCATTTTGTCATGTAGACTATTAAGGACTGGGGGTAATTTTTAGTGCTTTGTAAAGGTCCTTTTATAGTGAGCCTGGCACTGTTCATGGTAGTGCATGCGTGCAATCCTAGCACTCTGGGCAGCTGAGGCAAAGAGACTGAATATTAGAGCTCAGACTGGGTAATTTAACAAGTTAGCAAGAACATGTCTTGAAAAAATGTTTAAAAAGGGGTGGGGATGTAGCTCAGTTGGAAGGCCCTGGGTTCAATCCCCAGTACCATAAGAAAGAAGAAACAAAGAAAGAGAACCTGAGGAGAAATACAATTTGGTTCTGCTATAATAGATAAATTTGAGTCATTTGTAGGAAGAGGGATGCCCTTGAGGCCATAAAGTTAGATGAAGTCATTCGGACAAATAAGCTTGAATACTGCATGATGTCTCTTACACAAAAAACTATACAAATATGAAATAAAAGCCAGGTAATAGGAAAACAGAGAGACAAAAAATAAAAAGGTGTTGAATTCCAATGCAAAGTATCCAATAGTATACTCGAATTTTGTACCATTGTCTTACCTGTTTTATACGTTCTTTGGCCTATTAGTCTGCTTTTCAATCTGTATATATGATAATTAACTTTATAAAGTCTTATAAGATAAATGAATCTGATGCTGGAAAAAAATATGGGTAGAGGGAAGAGGGAAATAGAATGGAAATGTGTTATTTACATGTACTAACTCCCTACAATAAATGTAGTCATTATATACCGCATACAGGAAAAAATAAGGATTTTTTAAAAATTGGCCCTGCTATAATCTGTACCACTCACTGTTGATTTTTTCATCCTCAGGGCAAATGCCAAAAGGTGTGGAGAATAAACAATAGTCTAACTAGGAAAATCCTAATGACCTTCTTGGCCCCTGTAAGATTCTCAGAGATTTCTGTGTCCATACTTTTGCTGCTGAGCTAAAATAACAGATGCAGGGTGTAACTACAGGAAGACTTCCCGAGAAACCAATTCTCAGAAGTCTCTTCTCCCTAGAAGGCAATCCTATTCTAGCCATGCTAGCCATTCTCTCTCTGGCTGAACACCAACATCGTGCCCTCGATCTAATTCCTTTGAACATTCTCCTGGTTCTTACTTTTACTGTCTTCTACTTACAACACAAGCATGCTACAATGCTCTGTGTCACCACTCTGCTCTTGTGTTGGGATCATCCAGGTAGACTGTGTTGGGCTGGACAGAGAAGACATGGTTATAGAGCACACCTCTCAAGAGTGCACAATATCCCTCCTTCTTCCCCAACTATCAGATTCAGGGGCTTAAAAAAGGGGATGGGAGGGCCCAAAGAAACAAATGATAGACTTCAGGATAATTAAGCCCAGGTAGACTGTAGCTCCTGGGTAGCAAGTTGAGGTCACTGCTCCTGCTTTTGAGAGTCTGAACCATGAGTGCACAGTTCAGAAACTCTTGGCACTCCTCTGGATGCTAGGTGGCGACTCCATTGAGGAGTCTCGTTTACCTGAGCTGGAGAACTGCAACTGCGTTTGCAGGCAGCAGAGGAGCAGGGTACAAGGGGTCTGCAGAGGTTGTGAAGCCCTGATACAGCTCCATAAGGCCTTTTCAGGCCAAAGCATTTGCAAGGCTCCTGCTCCCTTCGGGGCCAACAGGGTATCCTGCTTACAGAACTGCTTGCAAAACACAGTGTCCTCCATCCCGGCTCATCTGTCTCTGTTCCCAGTCCTCTCCCACTGTGGCAATATAACTTGCTGCCCCTGGAGCAAACAACTTTCTCCTTAAACTGTTCCTGAGGTTGTTCCACATCGTCCACAAGCTTGCTTAAGCCAAACACCTGGAGGAGTTATCTCGACTCTAGGGAAATCCGACTGTTATGGGATAACTTAAATTTTTGCAATTTTAATAAATTGACTCTTTTTTAGCTTCATATCCTGCCCCAGGAGCCTCACAACCTCTGCACGTAAGCGTGCGCGTGCACAGGTGACAGAAGGACCCTCCTCCCCAGAGCAGCCGGCCGACACATGCGCCCAGCCAGCCTGAGCTCCCGGGCTCTGCCGCTGCGCCTGCTCGGCGGTGCTTTCAGCCATCTGCAGACTTCAAACACCGGCACTTGGTGCCTTGAGGCGCGGCTGGCCCAGGTCCCGCGCCACACTCCAGTAGTCAGGCACCAGGCCCGGATCTCTTCCCTGCCAGCCTCTACACACCGCCCCACGGCTGTAGAGAGAAGAGGCTACCTCACCATTACCACCCTGGGTCTAAACTTTCCCGAAGTCTTCACTCTGCCCACTCCTGGCTCCGCCCGCAGGCGCGTGGGCGCGGCGCACCTTGGCGCCAGGTGCGCGCGGAGAGGGTGGGGGCCGGAAGGTGGCAGGTTCAGAAGAAGGCGGGGCCGGGGGCGCGGACCGCTGTGGGAGCTGGCTGGACCTGGGGAGGAGGGGCGGGCCCAGGGGTGCTGATGGACCTGGAAAGGGCGGGGCGCTCCTCCACTAAGGAGTGTGCGGCTGGCGGGCTGCAGGCCCAGCAATATACCGTGGGCGACAGCGCCTCTGGCAGTGGGGATCGCAGTTGTACCCTCGGTGGCCGAGCAGGCGCAGGGATCTAGGCTGGACCCGCGGGCAGTGGGCGTGACCTCGCCGTCCCCGAACCCGCGGCGCACTCGCGCGCCACAGCACACCGAACGATGCGCGCCCCGGGCCGTCCCGGAGGCTGATACCGAGCTTGTTGTGCCCATGGCCGATCCGCCGCGATCCCTGGCGCCCGCCTCCTCCCGCCAGGGCGGCGCGTCCTGGGCGGCCACCGGGCTATGGGCCGCGCTGTACGACTACGAGGCGCGCGGCGAAGATGAGCTGAGCCTGCGGCGCGGTCAACTCGTGGAGGTGCTGTCGCAGGACGCTGCGGTGTCGGGCGACGAGGGCTGGTGGGCCGGCCAGGTGCGGCGCCGCCTAGGCATCTTCCCCGCCAGCTACGTGGCGCCGTGCAGCCCCACGTCTCCAGCTGCGCCTCAGGTCCCTCCGCCGCGGCCTGGCTCGCCAGTACACGTCGACTTCGAGCGGCTGGAACTCAAGGAGCTGATCGGCGCGGGCGGCTTCGGGCAGGTGTTCCGCGCCACCTGGCAGGGCCAGGAGGTGGCAGTGAAAGCAGCGCGCCGCGATCCAGAGCAGGACGCGGCGGCGGCGGCCGAGAGCGTGAGGCGCGAGGCGCGGCTCTTCGCCATGCTGCGGCACCCCAACATCATCGAGCTGCGCGGCGTGTGCCTGCGGCAGCCGCACCTCTGCCTGGTGCTCGAATTTGCGCGCGGCGGGGCGCTCAACCGCGCGCTGGCTGCGACAGATCCGCGTGCGCCCGGCCCGCGCCGCGCACGCCGCATCCCTCCACACGTGCTGGTCAATTGGGCGGTGCAGATCGCGCGTGGTATGCTTTACCTGCACGAGGAGGCACTGGTGCCTATCCTACACCGGGACCTCAAGTCCAGCAACAGTAAGTGAGCTTTGGGGCCAGCTGGGGGCGGGGTCCTAGCGTGGGGACTCAGGTGCAAAGGGGCGACAGTTAACTATAGAGCGCCACCCTCATGTTTCGCTCAGGTTTTCCTGAGCATAGTGGGGCCTGCAAGAGTTAGGTACAGGCTTTGGAGCACGTGACTCACCTTGACTTGTCATTGGCTGCCTTTTAAAAAGACACTTGCCAGGTTTGCTTGTAGATCAAACATTTGTAAATATCTAGACCTTCTGGAAACTTCGGGGGTGAGCTTGAGCTTGACCTTTAGGTACCTTAACAGAATTGACAACAAGAAATGATACATTCGTTGCACCAATCATGCATGAGTTTTCTCGCGTTTACTTGGTACCAACCGAGGCCTTCCTAGGATTATGAGGAATCTCCAGCTTTTCCTTTGACCGCTGGCCTTTGCCAAACTGCTCCTTTATTTCCACCTTACAAGTTATGTAATGAGGTTGCTCTTCTCCGGATTTGTGTGTGTGTGTGTGTGTGTGTGTGTGTGTGTTTGTGCGCGTATGCGCGCGCGCGCGCGCTGTCTTTTGGACTCAGGACCTACACTTGGTAAGGAGGTGCTCTACCATATTCTCTCATTTTAATTATGGCTTCATATCCTTTGACTTCCTGTGTCTCCATATATGACACGAGTTTATTATTGATTCTTTTTTCCAGGCAGGAAGCACTCTTTTGTTCCATTATAAACTTTGGGGTTAAGAAAAGCCATTGTCCTTGCACACGTCCTTAAAATCCCAAAGACCTGGCACATGTCATTTACTTTGTTCATAAGTCAGGATGGATTTTCCAGATGTCAGTAAAGAACTCCCAAATGACCCAAATATAAATCCTATCAAATTTTGCTTTATTAATGAGTTAGAATTGCTACTGGAAGTTTTTTCTTTAGTATTGAGGATCAATTCCTGGAAGGAAATGAAATCTCTTGAAGGATTAAAGGATGCAGTCAGAACTGGCATTGGCCTACCACAGCTACACATCTTCAAGGCTTGTAAAACCTGCCGAGACAGGACCTAGCTGAAAGGGAATACTGTCCTCTAAGTGCAGAAAGAAGAGTAACAAGAAGAAATGATAGGCTTGTCCTATGTTTGTGTAGATTATCTTTGTCCATCAGAAGCCCTCAGTACTGAAATTTACTTGAAGACAACTACTGTAGCAGTTTTCATTGTCATAAGTAATAATCTGAATGTTGTGGTTCTTTATGAGGTTGAATACTTCCAGGTTTCATTTCCTGACTCTCTGTGCTCCTGCATCTGGCAGGATTTAGCGCCCAGCTGCTTCAGTGACAGAGCAAAGTGTAACCCAGTGTAGCAGGAATACTGGTGGTGGTATCTTAGCACCTCGATGTGGGATGTTCCATGAAGGACTGTGGAATTCATTGCTTTCAGACTGTTAAAGACACAGTGCGATTTTCAGTGCACTTATTTTTGTAAATAACTTCAAATTTGGTAATCTGCACTACCAATGTGTGCTTATTTCCTAAACTATGCTTTTGTTGAAGAAAATAAGTGCCATGCTTATGGCATGCTGCCATGGAACAAGTGACTTGTCTGTGTGTCCTGCTAAGCCTTGTTCTCGGTGACGGCTGCTGGGAGTCTTCTGCAGAGCCAAGGATTCCAAGGACAGCTACAGCATCATTTTCTGCTACTTGGCATGGCAGCAGCTCTGTGATAACATGGAAACTGGCATTTGCGAATGTATTCTGCTGCAGGCAGGACAGCAGATGACCAGTACAAGCAATGAGCTTGAGGTGCATTGGTCTTCAGACCTGAAAGCTAAATGACAGCAGGTGGGACTTTTACAGTACCTAGTCAGCTTGTTGCAATAATTCTTGAGGTCCATACATATTCTTAAGGTACAGTATGGTTGGTAGTGTTTAGAAATCATAAGAGGGATGTTAAGCCATGTTACAGTTTTTCAAAATGTAAACTTCTTTTAAATAAAATATAAAGTTTTAAAAAGCTAATACTCTTTAATAGTAAAATAAATAATACAATCCTGGAACAATAACTATAGTTAAATGGTTTTCATTGACACCTGAAAAACTTATATAGGCTACAATTATAAGGTAAATGTTTTGTATTTTGAAAGAGATTACAGTTTGCTATGTTTTTTTTTTTTTTTTGTTGGATACATAGCTTTTTTTGGGTTGTTTTTGTACCAGAAATTGAACTCAGCATCTTGTGCTTGTCAGGCAGGCACTGTGCCACTGAGCTATAACCCCAGCCTTTTGAAATTTATTGGTACAATTTAAACATACACAATGATCACATTCATTATAGAGTATTTGTACCTAAACATGATATATCCTGTTTTGCTATGTAGTTTTGAAAGGCTCTACCCTGAGAATACATTGCCAAACTTACTAAAGGATTTTAATTTCTGTAATTGCCAGGCAAGTTTCCCTTTCCTTTAAATTTTTGCGCTCTTTAAAAGACTTAATTGGTTAATCACTAGCCTAGAGAAATATTTGTTGCAGAATGACCGTTATGATAGTTTCTTAATTAATATAAAATTATCACTGTAATGTATAAGTGATAGAGCCTCACAAATGGCTTTATCCTGGCTGTCTGGTTATCTCTGTCCAATAAATGTAGATGCTTTTGAATTTTCTATGATACTTGAAGCTGTAACTTCTTGTTCAGATTTTAAATGTAGATGCTTTTGAATTTGCTATGATACTTGAAGCTGTAACTTCTTGTTCAGATTTTTAAGTGTAGCAGGTACTGTGTTATAACATGTTTTATTTGACTTTATTCATTATTTGCTTATGGTGGTAGTAAGTTAATGACAGTGCCAACAAAACTTTAAAAATCAATATTGAGTTTTATTTTCACTCAAACTCCACACACAAAACAAAGCCTATAGAAAACTACTAAATTCAAGTCAGTGGATATTACTGTTTATTTCAATTTCTGTTCGGTTTGTTCATTTGTTTTTTGTTTTGCATTCCCTTATCCTCCCTTCAATACCTCTTCCCCTCCTTATTTACAAAAGCCTTTTTTCCATTTTTACATCTTTTCTCATTTTTTTCTTTTTCCTTCCTTCCCCTCTCTACTCCCTAGTTCCCCTTCCCAACTGAGCATTTTCTTCCTATTTCATAATATCTAGTGTATATTCTGGTTCTTATCTACACTTTCGGTTTCTCACACAAGAGAAACAGTACAATATTTACATATATGTGTTCTGTATATGGAAATTGTTAATTATAACAAATGTTTAAATTTGTCACAAGAATTTATTACTTTTGAAAGATTTTCTGTGATCTTTTCTAAATGGGTTAAGTTTTATCGCATTGTAGAATTGTCTGTAATAAAATAATACTTGATGTATTTTAAATAACTTTGTCTATTTTCAAATTGAAGGCAACAGGTTGAAAGTTGAGCCACATTTGCAAGTTTTGAACATCATTTATGTTGTAAAAAAAAAAAAAAAAAAGCTCTCTACCTCTATACCTCAGCAGTGTACCTCCCAGGATGCCTGATGGGTGGAAACACTAGACTGAAGTTTATATGCTCCAGCTGGAGAATGCCATGAGGCAACTTTAGGCTACAATGAAATTGTCAGTTTTGTATACACATTCTGATTATTGTGAAAATTTCAATTTTATATACATGCATTTAGAGAGTGGAGGAAAAATCAAATTGCATGTCTAAACTCAACCCTTTCCCAGAGTCTTCTAGGCCACAGGGACAGTGTCAAACCATGGGACAATAAAAATATCCCTGCCATCAGGGAGCTTAGCCTAATGGAAAAAGAAGGGCAGTTGTGTACTTGAAATTATTAGCATGGTCTACCAAGAGAACAAGCAGAGGGGAAATAAAATGAATTAAGATGTGTATGTGCATGGACCAGCGTGGCTTCTACGGAGAGTGAGACTTAGCTGTGGTATCTGGATGCATGGAATTTTTTCTACGATTCTGGTCATAAACCAAATTAAATTCAGTGGTTAGGGTCAGTGTTTACCTTATGGGGGATGTTTGATTCAGTTCTCATCCAGTTTGGTTTGCAACCAGAATCATGGAAAGAGTTAAGTTCACGAACCGAAGTACCTCTATGAGTGCCATTGCTTGCTGGCTGTGTGACCTCCAGCAAGTTATCTGTCTTGATTATACTCTGTGCCGTATTCTTCTCGCCTAAAGACTGACAGAAATCTGTAGGAAAAACCTGCTTATTGTTTCTTAATCCTTCAAAGGCAGTTAGGTAAATACTGCCATAGAATTACATGGCTTTTTCAGGGGCTGGTGGGCACGTAGGAGCGAACAACAGGAGAGCGGAGACAGGGTTTTGTGAGGGCCAGGCCCCTGTTTTCAGTGCCTGAGATACTGGGCTAGGATGTGTGCACTGAGTGGTGGGCACCAGGGTGCCACAAGGGTCCTTGAGTCAGAAAGAAAGTATTGCGTGATCTGTTGCTAAAGAAAAACACTTTGAAGGAAAAGAACAATGCTGGGGTCATTTGCTTTATGACCTTGCTGTTAGAGAGTCAGAATAGCAGCAATAAAAAAATAAAACGACTTACTTAGACATTTGTTTGACGTAAATTGTTGATGATTTATGACCAAGCCTTGTTTTAAAAACTATAATTTTTTAGTCAGTTCATTCAGACCACTTTCTTGCTCTGATTTGTCCCTCCTTCTAGAGTGGGAAAATAATGACTCCATTTGCTGTCCGACTGATAACTGTAACACTGAATGCTAGCAACTGTCCCCAGGACCTCCAAGGGCAACCAGACACCTGTAAGGGTGGGTGCATGTAGTAGGTCGTAGGTGCAAAAGGGCTCCTAGCAAGGCTGGGATCTGTGATGACTTTGCTTTGGATTCTGAAACTCCAGTTTTATCTTCTCCAAATATGCTTCCTCTTCGGTGCCCAGGCTACCTAGTGGTGGGAATAGAAGCAGCAACCGGCCCGGATCTGGGTGCCCTTCAGTCTATGTGCATAACTGCTCTCAGTGCCTCTGAGCAGTGTGACCCTCA